TGTTCAAAAACCTGGATCCATAACTTTGGATCATGAAAAGGAACAGAAGCTCCAAAAAATGAAAAAAAAAACATAAGCAGAACTGAGACGGCTGCACAGCAAATGTTGCCGCATGCTGCTTTCTTTCGGCTGCATGCGGCCCCACCTTCGCAAGCTCGTCCATACTTGCCTTGTATTACGTCGTTCACGTTCGTGTCGTAATAACAACTCATGTGGTCCTTCTGTTTCCGAAAGAGAATTTCGTGAGTCGCCCACGTCTACGTCGTCGTCCTTTAATACGCTTATAAGTGGGAGAGAGATTTGTGAAGGAAGTTAAAACGTACCTTAACAATAACATAGTAGGCGGTTAATAAAGCTGCACAATTAGCGGCAATGGTTATGATTGAAAGCATCGGTTGAAGGTGACCAGTCACCAAGGCAAGTATCATCACTGAATTCATCGTAACTCGGTTAAGCTATAGTTTTTATCAAAAAATTAAAAGCTAAACTCACGTGCATTATTGTTTTGAAAATGATTTATAGTGAGGCTCAATGTTGTAATGAAAGCAGTGGGTACTTGAACAACGAGAAATGCAATTGTTACTGTAGTGATGAGTATTCGTGTCTGATCTCGAGGTGTACGTCCGAAGCGATTGCTAAAAAAGGAAAGTCGGCTCTTTTCCTACTTCTTTCCATTCAACAACCACGACACATACTGTCTGGTCATGTCTCCCATGTCTATCTCCGGTTCGCGAATAAATCCAACGTGAAGTAATGCTAGGAGGCAGCCAGGCAACAAGAATTGCACCACGAAATCAGAAAGTGGCAGGAATACCTCAAAAGGAGACAATAAGATTGAAGAGTTGGCAAAAAGAGGAGGGGGGGGGGACATAGTTCAAGTAGTGATTCAGAAAATATGCACTAGTAGATGCAGATCGAAACGCTGATTGAAATCTGGCTTACACTGCGAAGAATTATACGGAAAAAGTTATAAACTTTTTTTCCTATCCAAGATGGCTGATCTGTGGAGCATGCATAAAGGTTGGCTTTGAGCCAAAACAGCAGCGCAAAAGGTGGTTATTGTTGAACAAGATTTTTATCAAATGGGAACTCTTGCGTCGTTATTTTAGGCCGAATCTTACATTTTAGGTCAATTTTGAACATTTTTAAAGGCTATTTTCGATAGGAAGAAGCCTTCTATCTCCTGTTGGATTAACCTTTGCAGATAAGTGGGGCAGACATGGATTAGCACTTCAAAATACAATACATCTATTGGTAGGTATCTCTTCTTAGATCGCCATTTCAACTGGGTATCCTTGCTCTATGAGACACCTAGCTCTGTCTATAATTGCGTTTCGTAATAAAATTAGCTCATATCAAACAAAGAAACGACAGAATTAAGTTTCCATGGCTTCACCTTAGGATTAGCAGCTATACTTGGATGGGAAAAAAAGATGTATTCTGATGAACTATGGAATGGGAAACGATGTAGAGTAAGTAATTGACACTCGATTAGACTATTAATGGCATACCAGAAATGATTAGATGGCTGAATAGTTAGTCATTCAGAAAATAGCTGTTAAACAAATGCTCCTCACAAATGCAGGTTTTTTGAATTATAACATGAGCTTTGACACAGGTCAATCGATTCCAAATAAGAAGAAATTGAACTATAAAGAACAGTGAAACTCTCATTCATATTTCTACCAATCAACTTACATTTTTCGCATGCAGTTGATGTAGAAAAGAACACAAAATCAATAGTTTAGAACATTACCAACCTTCCAAAATGACCGTGTCAAAATACTCATTAATGCACCATCTCGGACCATGCAGCGAGATGCCCATCTAGGTGTTGGTTCCGTATCTACAGAAGATTATTCTTTTTTTTTCATAACTGCCATACTTTATAGATTCTTTCAAAGTTAAATCAAATTTACAGAGAATTGAAAGCTTACCCATACAGAATTGGTAAACAGTTGTTTCGTGCTCAAAAAACCTTAATAGGCCAATTGCTATACAAATAAATATAATTAACCATATCGCTCGTGAGAATCGTTCCACAGTTCGAAGCTTCAATGTATTTCGATGGTACTGAGTGAGAAACCTAAAATACAATTTATATGTTTATGTTTTAGCAGTACTGATAGATTTGCAGATTTGACGGACCTTGCTGCTGCAAGTAGTACGCTAAATAACGTCATCATTGTGTCGACGGTATGCGGAATTGCTTCCATAGTGGTGCGAAAGACGTGACACATTACAACAGATTGGTTTAGAGATCTAGATTAAGTGAATTCTACATGAAA